TTACACACGGTGTTAAAGCGGAAGGGTCGTCACTTGCGCACGCGCGGAAATTGAGTTCCAAGCGACGATAACGACACACGCTAATAACGCAAAGGCTCATGGGTTGGCGCTTGTTTGTAAACAATGACACGCTATGGCCATCTGACGCATGTACAAGTGACGACTCCCCCGCTTTAATCAGTTTTACCTCCTCGTAATATTTAGTTAGTAAATTTATACAGAACGAAGATTTTCAATTTATGTTGTGTAACGAACTCGGATAACTATCAGTGGATCATGTATGGCTATGCATGTTATCCAGCGATTTATATAAAGAGTAAACTTTTGTAAGAGAGTAACAAAACATAACACCTTTATAACAACTACTGGGATTGTTTTTTCCCATTCACATCAAGCACACTTGTTCTATATCCCATAAAGCCAACATGGCGATCTGATCGCTGCATTTTTTTGTCATATTATATGGTCAGAAGTAGAGTCGTACTGCGACACTTATAGCTTAACTTTAAAGTATAGATGTAAAACTCTGAACTTTCCTGACCAGCTAGCGAGAGAACTACTAATTTGCATAATCAATCACCCAGTAAAATATTATAGATACTTAAATTAAAGCACGGTTACTAGAAGAATAACCGTGATTAAAGTAGTTACAACTCTCACGCATACAGATCGATTACTGTTTTGTAAAAATGTTATTATTAGTTTAAAATTAAATACAAAATTTCCCATAACCTATCACATCCAATTTAAACTTTTTGGTATTTATGTATAGTCTTGCAAATTCTCCGCGTAATCACATTGTTTCTTCTAATTTATTAAAGATGTTTCTCTTATATTTAACTATTTGCTTATATTATCTCTCACTTGTAGCAATGTGTTCTTAGTTCAGGGACTGTGACGTGACGAATGGGCTTGGCGTGATAAAAGCCGATTCGTACTCACGTCCGTGGCACTCAATAATACTCCGCTGTCGGCCACAACGACATACCATACGGACATCGTGCAACTATAAACAATAATTGGTTATTTCAACAGAAAATATATTCCCTACCTGTCCAATAATGACTGCCACGCAACTTAAATTTACTTTCTCGATCCAGTGTAAGAATGTGTTTGTTAAAGTTTTTGGCAACGAACATACATGTATTATGCAAATGTAGCTTGACAACTCATTGTTATTCATGGCGCCCTGGTTTTTTTTATTGTGTTCTGTTCCCAAACAATACTGCCAGAAGCGTTAACTATTTTATTACAGCCAGTTTGACACCATTGACGTAAGAGCATAATACACTGTGTACCAACAAGCATATAAGTTCTATTGTTGTTAAACAAGGCCCCAACGTTGTGTAAAATGCTATTCTACGTTGTTGTTTTTTTTGTTTTTGTTTTTGCGCTTCCTATTATCCAAACGGTCTTGGCTATTGACTGTTAACATTTCACGGCATTATGAATAGTGGAACATACTAAAAAAAAAACGATTTAAAATATAGAAAACAGGTACAAACATTCTCTCTTTTGAATGCTTAGCAAGATTTAGCAAGGCTGTACATACATAATAAAAAAGAAACATGGTGCAAAAAAAAGTAATGACGGGATTTCCATATTATGCACTATAGTTAACTTTTCACAAAACGATAATAGGTTTAAATTTGGAACTGTTACCATTTTAATTATGAGCATTAGCAAACTTTTTACTGAGTGAATGGTTATGCAAATTGGCCATTATCTCCACTTGTGTTTTTCAGTTTACCATGGAGGTTCAAATCTAAATAGCTCGCACAATTCTTGTTTATTTTGAGTGAAACTTTCACACAACGTTTATCAGTTGTTTATTAACAAAGGGGCGTCCAGGCGTATATATAGTATGTTTTATTCACATATTAAAAAGTTGTCTAGCAAGATGTGTGCCGTATATTCCGTCTCGGTCAGTATTTCACACTTCGAATGTCATTGTCTGAGAATGTAAAGCTTTAAAATAAGCCTAGACGTCCTTTTGTTCGTAGAGACGTTGTCAAAATAGTGTGAAAATGTCAAGACAAACTGACAAAAACTGTGGGAGCTAATTAATTTTCAATCTCTATGAGCAACCAGAAAACACGAACGGAGATAATGGCCGTTTTATGAAAGTGACGTTAATCGTCCACAACAATGGCTATTCCATCACGACGACGTGCCAAAATCCATCATACACCGAAGCTTGCTGATGTTCAATCGTTAGATAAAAAAATGAAATAAAAATATTTACAATACGAGGGAAACGGACTATAAATCGTCCGCGGAGTCAAAACCTAGCGTTAAGTGTCATGGCGTCATGTTATCATTTCCACTTAGGGAGGGGCACAATGGATTACGTAAAGCCGATGAGATATTCATACAGTTATATAAACATAACATTTGGTGGGTTGAATCTAAATTTAACTTTCCTCAAACCTATAAAAAAATACTCTGTATGACACAGTTTTTCACGATCTCCGGTAAAATGGACCGTGCGAAGTTAGATGGCTAGGTTGAAATGGGCCGTAATATTTTGCTACACAACGGCTATTCGCAGTTTTTGTACTCAATCGCTCAAACGCCGGTGAGAGAAAGTCGAAATGGAAGACAACTATTGTAAATCGAAACAGGTTTCATTATTAGCGAATTGCTGTGTTATGTCTGTCATCGTTTAGGCAGGCGAGGTCCTGGACGGAACTTGGCTCAGTGATTTGGAACTAATTACGAGATAACCGTCGCTATTCTGACTACGATTTCTGACAGTTGGTATCCGTAGTTATTAATGTAGTGAACGATTAATCAAAAGATATGACGTATTCAGTACTTAGTGTGATTGGCTGTATGATTGAAGGTTACGCCCTAGAATCTTTTTACTGTTTTGTAATTGGTTAGAGTTTTGAAAATGAATAAAGAGAGTTCGAGTTGGTCTTGGCGAGTACACCAGAACAGACGCAGTCCTGGAGAGTCGTGGGGCGAATCTTGACATAGTCTTGGGATAGTCTTGGGCTAGTCTTGGGTCAGCCTTGCGATAGTCTTGGGGATTTTTCCCCAGGGCGCTGTGTCTTATAGAGTGCTCGACTGATCGACTAACACGAGAGTTGAAACGTATTTCGTTGTGTGCGTCTATTTGACTGTAAAGCTTAAGGTAGCGGGGCTATTATTTGCATACTTGTTTTCATCTTCTAATTGTGACTAAATGACTACAAATAGACCCAGGAAAGTATATATTTTTGGAATCGCCAGACTTCAAGCTTTTCACAAGTGTATTTTGCATGCCCGTATCTGCATTCTATGACGCGTTACTCAATCAAAGGTGAAAAATTACTTTTTCTGTAAAAAAAAAATAATTACGCATTTATGCTGGCGATAAGAATTATTTTTTTTCACTTTTCCTAGTTGTTCAATAGTCTGGTAAATTGAATGTGTCTGGTCAGTTTTATTCAAGCAACGCGTTTTAAAAAATAGTGTGCTGAATTTCAATTACTGTTTTAGTCGCATTGCCTCCAACTCAAACCACAACTGTCTGGACACATTCAAGTTCCTCTCACTGTCACCTTAAATCTGTGAAAATTTTGTGTTAATCCGACGACAATAAGTATACGTTATTTTTTGTTAAAGACCTTGTATTTTGAAAAACATAAACTCCTAGAAAACGTCCATGAAGTAACAGCAACGATTTTCAAGCTTGTTTATCGGCACAATCAATTTGTTTTTTCATCAAGGTCTGTTTTAACATGTGTAGGGGCATCCAAATGTGTAAGGCTATTGGAAACCAAAAAAATAAAGGAATGGGATAGCTATAATTGGATAAAATCGGCAGATGAAAACACCAAAATCAATGATTTTTTTTCAGTGGCGGTGCGACGTTGTGTCTGACACATTCATATGCAAATGACTAATCTGTAAAATAAACAGGGGCGGAGACAAACCACTCAAATGTTTGGAAACACCATTGTGTGTCAGATAGCTACTGATAACACATCCTTACATTGATTTGTCTTGAGTTTATCTTTGGAACTTATAGGCACACAGATTAAACTTGTGTTGTTGATTTTGGAAAACACTACTGAGGCTGCCTTGCTTCCATTCAGAAAATCAACATTTTAACCAACTTACATGACATTCTATGGTATGTTGACTTTATCAGATGAAAGTTTATAGTGCATTTCATCAATTAATAAATAAATGTGAAAATCGTAATTTTCAACACAAATAATAGTCTCGCTACCTTAAGTGACTTCCCCGATCCCATACCTCAAGGGGACGAGATATAGAGACGAGACGAGTTTCCCCCTGACAAGTGTGGAGAACCCCGAGACGAGAAGAATTTCCCCCTGATCCAACTACGAGCAGACGAGACGGGTCGATAGAAATTAAAACGAACCCTGACCTTTGGAAATACCTCATTCATAGAGTGCCATAGTACCAGAGGTAGCCGAGCATGGCCGTACAACGTACTTTGCGACATCGCTACAGATGCATGCTAGCTGACAAGGGGGTTTCCGATTAAGGTAACCAAGATGGCATCGCAGAGTGCGTGATTTTTCCGCGGTGTTTAAAAACAACATCTCATTGCCGATGTTTCTGTTATTTTCTGGGTATTTTTTATTTTTTATTAACCGATCATTTTACGTTTGTGTATTTTGCCACTGAAAACTTAGTTATCGATGACAGCACAGCAATGGTCTGAATGGTGTTTATCCACTACATCGCAATGCTATCAACGCAGTGATCGTTACAGCGAAACGACAAATATATAATTAGTCAGTTTTATAATGCCTTCGGAGAAAAAAAATGCGTGAAAAAAAAATATTTAACAGTACTCCACTGGAAGTTGTCGACATGTTGCGAAATAAGGGTGAACACGTTTACTTATCATTTACAACTGTATGTTTTTGTATTCCGCTTGCATGCTGGAAGCGTCTACTCAGTATAAAGTCTTCCCTGAGTTTGAACAACAGATGTCCTGTATGAAAATATCATGCAAAAATTGAGAAAATCTGATAAAATATTTTGACTGTTTCTACTTGACTGATCACTGGTGATACACATCAAAGGTCACTGATCTCAGTGGAAATATGCATTGTTGTATGTGTTCAATGAAGCAAATGATTTATCTTGTAATAATATCCTTGGTAATGTATCTCAGAATCCCATACTGGGTTTCAAAACCAACTCATGGAGAGATTGCACAGTCTGATACACATTTGCAAACCTACCAATAAAATCTTTACAGAAAACATGATGTCAGAAAATCAATATAAGCACTGCTATGAACTGGGTGCCAAACTTTGATCAAGATCTGAAGCTAATAGAAAATCTGTTTAGTCAAAAGTTATCAAATCAAAAACAATACATAAAAAATACATTAAAAACAAAACATTTCATCCACATTTTAAAAAGAAAATTATTCTAAAATATATGTATTCTGTATTTGACAAACA